GCTTCTTGCTCAGCCGTGAGGATCACTGGCGGAAAGGAGGAGGGGAAGAGGAAAGAGCACCCACGGCCTTCTCTGGCCCCAAGAGAGAGCTGCTGCCGACTCGTCTTCGGCGCCCTCTGTAGCCCCCGCCTCGGCGCCTAAGGCGTCGTCTGGCTCGGGCGCGGGCGGCGGGCAGGGCTGGGGACGGGCGGAGGGGGCGGCGATGGCAGCGGCAGCGGCGACGGAGGGAACGGGGGAGGGAGGAGAAAATTCTGCCAATCTATTCACATCAGGGTCCCCCAACATCTCTTCCCTGCATAATCCGGTGTGGTCCAAAACTCATCATGGTACTCAATCTGGTATGTACATACCTCGCATGGCGGATCTGATCCCGTCATCATCTACAGTCTACTCCCCCTCGTCTGTGAGTATTGTCCTGACCGAGTCGGTGCGACAGCTTCAGACATCATGCTGGGGCACGTATTCTTCCTCGACGTTTGAAAATCGCCCCCCTCGCATTTGCCTGCCAAAGTAGGATGGGACTTCCTGGGATGTGGACGCCTTCCCGAGTTCTCGCTGGTAAGGTCGTGGTAGAGACCAGGCATCCTGAGGGCAGCCATGCGCGTTGGGGCGCGCCTGCATTCGTCTGGGGGCGACCCTTGAGAGCGTCGCTGATCAAAGACAGCTTTGCTGGGAATCGGCGCTGCTGCGATCGCACGAGGACGTGGCCGCTTGCAAGACTTGGGCGCTCGGCTCTGCCAGAGTGCTGGCTGCGGGTGCTCAGTCCACTCGCTCGTGTCTACCGCCGTGCGTATCCCCACAATCCAGACTAGTGTAACACAGTCAGCTCGCACGGTAAGGATGGGCAACCTTCCCAAGGGTTCCCTCGCTTTCTTGCCTCCTCGGTCCATCATTGGCCACTCTCGTTGTCCGCGCCCCTCTCGAAAAGCTTCGGAATGGGCGTCCAAGGCCCTTGCATCCTTGTCGCGCATCTGTATTATTCAGGTTGGCTGTAACAGGCTGACCGTTTCTAGCTGCTCATGTTGTCGATCTCTGGCCCATGAAACTCCCCAGACCTTGTCGTTGGGGCGCGAAGCCAGGGGGCCTTTCAAATATCTGGCGGCACTTCACATTTCGCATGGTGCCCCCACCCTCGTGTTCAGACACGCTAGGCCCTAATGTGAGCTGTCCATTATTCGATCGTTTGCTGCCTTGTGAGGTCCCCCTGTAGAAGGTGCATGGCGATGTCGTCTGACAGGACTACTAGTTGGCATGCTGGCGAGACTGTCATGCCTGAGATGTTTACGTGTACGTCGCCGGATCTTCTTCTGCCATTCAGTTGAAGCATATTTTGATTCCGTCCCGCGGTACGAGTACACACAGCGCTTTCAGCCTGGACGGTATAGTCACGTGGTCGGTAGTTGTAGATCCTGTGGTATTTGGGGTCCCTTGGCTGGGAGCTGCATGGGAACCTTGCGGAGGCTGGGGCGCACACAATACCTGACGGGCATCACCATCCAGTTCGTGCTCGTGCCTTGGATGATTTGGCGAGCTTCCGGCTCCGTGATCTGTGACTGATACCAGATGGAGTCCCATATGAGCTTTTCAGGGGAAGTACGAGAACACGTCTTCTCACATGCACGACACGTGTTGGAGGGGGCCATGAGGAGTTCGACATGCTTGATTTGATGGACATGTGTCTGCACCGCATGCTGTTGTACATATTTGCTCATGAGAAGCGTAAGCTCACACCACGGGCAAACCCACACTGCTGGCTGAGCTGCTTGCTCCTGACGCCTGAGTGGGTGGTCGGGGTGGGTGATGTGTAGCGGGGCCCCGTCCACGCCGTACCCGCTCAAAACATGTGTTTATGTTTGTGCAGCTGCAGACAGTGGGCAAGTTGTGGCCACATGGCCACGCAGTGCGCCTCGTAAAAGTTGGCGACGCAGCCACACGGATCCTTAGATGGGAGTTTCCCAGCCATTGAGGTCTTTCATTGGGTTGGCGTAGCTGTGCAGTGCAATAGTTGTAGTGTATGTAGTAGGAATAGTAGTGGTAGTAGTAGTAGTAGTAGCAGCAGCAGCAGCTGCAGTAGTAGTAATAGTAGTAGTAGTAGTAGTCGTAGTAGTAGTAGTAGTAGTAGTAGTAGTAGTAGTAGTAGTAGTAGTAGTAGTAGTGGCCGTCGTTGTAGTCGTAGTCGTAGTAGTAATAGTCGTAGTCGTAGTAGTAGTAGTAGTAGTAGTAGTAGTAGTAGTAGTAGTAGTAGTAGTAGTAGTAGGCGTCGTCGTCGTCGTAGTAGTAATAGTAGTCGCAGTCGTAGTCGTAGTCGTAGTCGTCGTCTCAGTAGCAGCAGTAGTAGTAGTAGTAGTAGTAGTAGCAGTAGTAGTAGTAGTAGTAGTCGTGGTCGTAGTCGTCGTCGTAGTCGTCAGCGTAGTCGTAGTCGTAGCAGTAGCAGTAGTAGTAGTAGTATGCGTAGTAGTAGTAGTAGTAGTTGTTGTTGTTGTTGTTGTTGTTGTTGTTGTTGTAGTCGCAGTCGTAGTAGTAGTAGTAGAAGTAGTAGCAGCAGTGGGCGTAGTAGTCGTAGGAGCAGAAGAAGTAGTAGTTGTAGTACCAGTAGTAGGAGTCGTAGGAGTAGTAGTAGTAGCAGTAGCCGTTGTAGTAGTAGCAGTACTCGTAGTAGTAGTAGTAGTAGTAGTAGTAGTAGTAGAAGTAGTAGTAGTAGTAGTAGTAGTAGTAGCAGTAGTCATTCTAGTATTCGTGGTAGAATTCGAATTCGTAGAAGTAGTAGTCGTAGTCCTAGTCGTAGTAGGTGCACTCGTAATCGTGGGTGTAGTCGCAGTACTAGTAGTAGTAGTAACAGTATGAGTAGTTGCTGCTGTAGTAGTCGTCGCCGTAGTGGTCATAGTAGCCGAAGTAGCAGTAGTAGTAGTAGTAGTAGTAGTAGTCGTCGTCGTCGTCGTCGTAGCAATAGTAGTACTAGTATCCGCCGTAGTCGTAGCAGCAGTCGCAGCTGTAATAGTAGTGGTAGTAGTAGTAATCGTCGTAGTTCTAGTCGTAGTAGTATTCGTCGTAGTAGTGGCTGTCTGTTGCCAACACAAACCGTCAACACACATCAGACAGCCAAGTGTGGGTACAGGTATTGTAAGCCATATACACTATACCGTTGAAGACATCCGAGCCGCAGTGCATGAGCCGCCCAAGCAACCATGGTTGGTGAACACGTAGTTGATATGTATATTCGCGGTGACGACCTGAGCCGACATTGTAGTATTCTTAGTGGTATTTTCCATCGTGCCTGTGCAAAATTGCAGCGGCTAAAGTACTGGCTGCTTCAAGATGGGTCTGAGCTTCAGTTGCCCCATGCCATGTGGCAGCCTTTAATTGTTGCGATGGTTTGACCAGCAAGTGAAGAACATGCATCTTGATGCTTAAGTCCTCGGCGTCTTGGACCATCGAGCGAAAAGCTCCTGCGTAACGCGTGTCATGCACCTGCGCCAGCCCTGTGATCGTGTGCGATCTCTAGCTCCATGTAGGCCATCTCGTGCGGGATGGTCCCGATGTGCGAATTTTGCTTCGCGAATTGGATGTCCAGAGGGCCCAGAGCCTCGGAGACAACCCGCACGACTTCTCGCATCTCCTTCCAAACCTGAATTCGGGACAGTTCGGCCCCTTTGCCACCGAATTGGTTCAGGCATTCGGCTTAGTTTTTCCTGAAAATCATCTGGAGGCCCCAATGCGAATGATATCAGCTGGAATATCCATTATTTTGAGTGCCCCACCTGATATCACGATCGCTTCGTCGTCGAAGGAATGTGTAGCTATGGCAGGCGCTGCGCTGGTGGAGCCATGATTCAAAAGCATGTGAACCTTGGCGACCGTTTCCGTCGGCATTTCCAGTGGGTAACCTGTGGCTGCGAGGTTTCAGCTGTATTGGATACGCACTCCGCCATCACATAGTTGTAGACAATGTCACCGAATTGTTGTCCTGGAGCCGATCCTAGCATAGGGTTCGCTGATGCCGTTGCACCTGCACAGTAGAGCCAAGCACCATGCTACGATATGGCCGTGAGCGCGCGAACGTGCCGTGAGACCCAGCGCGCTCCAGTACGGTGTCTTCTTGTGCAAGCTTGTGCATTATCGAAGACGTTTACGGCGCGTCACCGCCGCCCCTTGCCTTTTGGAATCGCCCATGTGACCGAGTATTGTGGCACGCGCTCTGCCAAGTTATCGGACCATGTGTTCCCCCTTCGGGAAGCACCTGGGGGAGGATGGCGGGAAGATCAGGAGGAAGAGGAGGAGGAGCAGGAGGGGGCATCTTGGTAGCCTTTTGGGGCACTCGTGGGGCCTCCTGGGAGCTTCATGGGAGCCTCTGGAGGCATCCTCCTTGGGCCTCTTGGGCGACTTCTCGGGGGCCATCCTGGGCTGTCCTTGATGGCATTCCTGGCCCGTCTGACGCCGTAAAGCAGTCTTGGGGGCATCTCCTGGGCCGCTTGAACATGTCACTCCCCACGACCCGCGCCCCTCCGCCAGACCTCCAGACGGCCCTCGTGGACATCGTCAACGAATCCCATGCTGGGGGTACTTTTTTTCCTCGCGGGCGCAAGCGAAAGCGCAGGCGCCGAGTCGAAAGGTCCGGGCCACGGGCCGATCTAATCAAAACGCGCGGGCGAGGCCGCCTACGGCGTGAGGGGAGTAGCTACGCGCGAGCCTAAATGATGCTGGGGGTACGCGAAGCGTCGTGGATTTCATGGGGCACGCTGCAGTGCTGGGCAGCCACCGAGCCGCACGTCCCAGCTCGCACCATCCACGCCGAGTGCAACTTCCTCGCCCATGGCGTTGGCGCCCAACGCTTCGCCACCATCGGCCACGACCACCTCCTGCACGCGCGGCAGAACTGGCGCCAGGGACGAATGGCTGGCACGCGAATCGCGGACGTCCGCGCCGAGTCCTTAGACTTCAGCCACGGCATCATTTGCACCGTGAGCGGGTGACGATTCGAATCGCGTGACGATGTGGCCGTCCTTGAGCAGCTTCCTGCGGCTGCACCCAGCGCTCCTCGGGCACATGGCTTTCAGGGCGAGCCGCCAGGAGTTCCGAAAGCGCCAACGTTGCGACCCGAACTCCGAGCAATCGCAGGCGTCGTGGCTCCGCAGCAACCGCTGCGACGTTCCCCTCCTCAGCGCTCGACTTGGCTGCATCCTCGGCGTCGCCGCGCATCGTTCGGTGCATGCGCTCACGAGAACTGTCCACGGCGGCCACCACCTTCGACCCGTGGGTAGGGGTGCGCCGCGCGCACGCGGCCAGGGCCGTGGCGTCTGGCGCAGCCGCCCTGCGATCCAGCGCCATCAGCCTCAAGCCGTGGATGGGGCCAGGGATTGCTGCCGACCTCGAAGTCGAGGGCGCGACCTCGTGCATCTTATTGGCGAGCTCGCGCCGCCAAGCTTCGGACAAATTCTGCCTCGAGTGCGGCAATGTCCCAGGCGTTCTGCGTATCCTGATCGCGTCGCTGGCGAGGCGCAGCATTCCCCAGACGAAGCGCCATCTCAAGCGCCTCGGAGCACTCGCAGGAAAACGCGTGCGCATCGTTCATGAACTTGTCGATGGACTCCTCGACGCTGGCCACCGGTAGCCTGGCTACCAAGGACCGCTGCGACTGCTCGCATTCGACGTCTCTGCGCTTCGCGCCGAGACGCCGTCTCCCCCATGTCGCTTCCTCGCTGGAGCCAGCTGGCCCTCTCTGATACACCCCTCAGGCGCGTACCCCCCTGGGTGGGTACGAGCTCCACGGAACACCTTCCTGGACGTAAGAGCCTCCAAATTCATACACCGCGGCCTCCAAAATGGGCGTCTTGCAGGGCGTTGTGGAGGCGGCCCGTTTTGGCCGAGCCGTTCAGCGCCATGCTTCCTCGCAAGAAAAGCGCGCCGAGCGCGCCGCCACCACCGCTGTTGGACACCAGGGCCGTGCTCGCCGCCGCCGGCGGGGTCCTTGGGGCAGCAGACGACAGCGAGCCGACCGCAGGGACCTCACGCCGGAAACTGCGAACGAGGGAGGGAGTCCACTTCGTGCTTCCATCCCGACGACCCCAATTTGCTCTACAGTCGGGGCCCTGAAGAAGGAACCCTTTTCGTTGGGGAGGGGCTCCGCGTTCCTTAAGTGTTTCACAGCTTGCCTCAGGTTTTCCTTATGTTTTCGATGGGACATCGAAGTTTAACTTGTGGAAAAAAGGGTGCTCGTTCCTTATTTAGGGTTCCTTAGGTCAACGCCCCGACTGTACATTTCTAATTGGGGGGGGTCGGGGAACATCGAGAAAACACGAGTGGAACCCGTACCCCCCCAACCCGAAATCTGGCTCTTCGGGGTAGGTTGGGGTGGTCTGGTAGGTAGTCAGTGCTGATGAGTTGCACGGCACCTGGCTGCGGGCCTAGCACGTGTTGTGTTTGCCATCTTGCGACTCCGGGAGTCGGCTGCCTTCGAGGTGTTCTCGGTGGTTGATTGCATGGGAACGGCGTGCACCAATGGCTTCATCGTGGTCTGGTCGGAGCGGAGGTGTTTTTTGTCCAATAGTTGCGTGCCCCACCTGTCCAGTTAACACTTCGGCGCCTGCTCAATTTTTTCTGCGAAGTCGGGCTGGACATGCACGAGAAAGACACTCTATGGTGGTTGATCAATGTGGTCCCCGATTGAGCCCCCGATGTAAGATCTTGCCGATGATAAGACTGTAAATGCGTCAGCTCGAACAAATCGTCTGTCATGACTTGCTCTTGCAACAGGGCCCACGTGCGATGCTCGAAAAGAAGGGTCCGAATTCTCTTCAATACTCGGGGATTCGATGTATTCCTGTGCGTGCACCAACCCTGCGCATGTGCCAAGCAGGTTGCCCGTATTGCCTTGTCGTGGCGCTTCTCCGTCTTGTGGGGCCGATGTAGAGCTCTTCAGCCTGCTTTTTGTGCAAGATAGTCAATGCCATCTTGAGCACGACGACCTGGCTACATGGCGAAGGTCTGGTCCTCTCCGTCAGCCAGTCCAGGGCCACCTTGCGCTTCCTCGTGACCTCGGCCGCTGCTACGGCGACGGGGGCCAGCCCCCTTGGGTCGATGGCTGCGCCGCCTCGCCGAGCCCTCGACGCCCCTTCGTTGGGGAGAGCTCCTGCGTCGAGCGAGACGCCGAGCGCGCCAGCCGCGGGAGCCCCGCCACCTGGACGGTGCTCATCAGGTCGATATTGCAGGCCCTCGAGGCGATTGCAGTACTCCAGATTTCGTAATAAAGGGAGGGGGGTCTCATTTCGGGGGGGGTCTCTTCCAGGCTATCTTGGAGGGCCTGGGGGGTCTGGGGACGATGTTTTGGAGGGTTCTCCCACGGGGGAGGTCTGAAATGGCTTGTCTTGGAGGGTCCAGACCCCCTCCCGTTTATTACGAGATCTGGAGTGGACTTGGAACGCCTCGACCAGCATCTTCCCTAGCAGAAGGGGCAACGCGAAGTCGCAGCACGCTTCGTCCGCTCGCATCCACTTCTGTCGCTGGTGCACCGTGAACCCTCTCCACACGAGGGGCCTTCGCAACGCCGAACGGAACTGTCCTGAACAGCGATTCTTCGTCATAATCAGTGCCAGGTGGAACATGGATCTCCAATTTGTCTCTCTTCCAATTCCCCGATGCGAACATGTTAAGCAGACCTCGCACACTGGTGATCGTTTCTTTATTCATTGTTTTGCCGATCGCCGCGGGCCCTTGCACCCCCCCCCCCTGTGGAGCAGATCTTGCCTGTTTTTGGCGCCTGTTTCAAGCAGGTGGAGTCTCCCCCACAGGACACGGTTCCAAGCAGTCGCACTAAGCAGAGGTCCGGAGCCAGACACCCCCCCTTCCCCCCCCCCCCTTCCGCCAAATGTCTAAACGCTGAGTAAAAAAAAAGCTCACCTGTAGTGAGTGGCACTCTTCCGAGATACAAACCACGACAGCATAAATGTTCTCCTCATCACTGTCGTTGGGTTGGAAGCGGATTCGATTGCCTTGCAATGTGCTCTCAAGATTTCGCACCGGCGCGCTTCCCGAAAAGGGCTGGCTCACAACGAGCTTCGGCACCTCCAACTTCTGCATGAACTCCTTCGCCTGCTGAACGCCCTCTCTGCGCTGGCGCTTGTTCTCCAACGCGACCGCCCTGGCAGCGCGGAGGTCGCCGCCGTGCCTGTCGCCCAGCCTTAGCGCGAGATCCATGCGCGCTGGGCGACGGGCACTGAAGCCACCACGAGCCCGAACGGCGAGGGCTCAAACCGAGGTGCAACTGGGCCCTCACCAGTCCTCTGGACGAGGCTGCTGTCGCGCCTAATGAGTTCTTCTCTCTTCACCCCCCCCCCCATTCCCATTCGGGGTTGCCTCCTCCTCCTCCTCCCCTCCTCCTCCTCCTCCTCCTCCTCCTCCTCCTCCTTTTGCCGCCCCCGCCCCCCCCCCCCCCAAAAAAAACATCAAAAACCCGCCCCTGGGGTCTGGACGCGGCCCGCCACGGGCATTTTGGAGTGCCAGAGGTGCCCCAAGGTGGCCCCCAGTGCCCCCTCGACGCACAACTCAAGACGACCTCCAAGACTGCACAGCGTTCATCAGAGCGTGAACTACCTACCCCACTTTCGCTTCCAGGCAAAACCAAGCCATACCACGCGCCTCCTCGTCAAGCGGCCTGACCAGTACAGGCTGCAATTTGGCATCGTTTGGTATCTCTTGGAAGCGAGGGTGGTCAAAAGCGGGGTAGGTTTGTTTTCCCCCTAAGTTCAGGATGACCGAGGACGGGTCAAGACATCGCCCGAAATACCTCTGAGAGGGCCCAGCAGGGTAGGGTACAAGATTGCCCCAAGAGCATCTTCCAGGCAGCTCATGGTGGACACCGTTCCTGGACGGGCTGTCGCGCGAAGCGTCCAGGATAGATCAGACACGATGGGTAGTATCCAGTCCAAGAAAATGGTGGAGGGTAGACGCGCGATCCCATCCGATTCAGGCACGCTGGAGGAAACTTGGTTAGTAAGCAGCGCAACGCAATCCAATACAAAGAGCCCATAGCAGGAGCGCGATGCAAGGATACAAGGCCCTAGGCCAGCAAATGCGCCACGGACATCCCAGAACAGGGCATTGGCCACGCAAGGGCCCAAATGGCAGAATGCACGGGCCTTGTATTGGCCAAGGACGGGCCGAACAAGACAAGGATGCAATGTTGCCAATGACGGTGGGCCTGATTTTTGAGCGGCCGATCGCCTAGAAAGGTCCTTCGGGCTCGCTGTCTGAGTCTGCGCTCTTCTGTCGCTCGCGCGCAAGGATGGCTCGACCTTGGGCCGACTGCTTTGCGTCGACCCGTGCAGACACTCTCGCACTCTCATCTGGTTTGTACTGCTGATGCGTCTCTGCTGGCAATTCAGGCCCAGCCTTGCTGCTTGCCGCAGAGTGGCCGCTTTGTTGGGAAGAAGCTTGGCATTGCAACGCGAGGGGTCAATTGGTGCATTCGTCATCGGCTTTCCGCGTCCCTCTCCCGTCCCCCCTTCCCCCCCCTCTCCACACGTTGCGCTGGAAAGAACATCGGCCCAGCTTTTATCAGGCATCGAGCTCACCAATGCAACGTCCATGATCTGGGTTAGAGATGATTCGAGAACTGACTGGCGCTGCCGCTTTCCGCTCTCGGAGACACTCGGATCCATGAGCATAGCATACGGCCGCAAATCTACCACAACGCTTCCCATCGTAACTTATCGTCCCAGGTGTATTTGAAGGTCCAACGTCCGTGTTGAAGGATATGATCGTCGAATGTGTCGGTGGTGCCGCTGCTGCGGTTGGTGCCGCTGTTGCGGCTGATGCCGTTTTGTCCGAAGAGGTTGGTGTTGATGACGGTGTGGTTGATGCCGCTCTGTCTGGCGACGGCGATGCTGCGGCGTCCGCTCTGTCCGACGAGGTTTGCGTTGACGTTGCTGCGGCTGCCGTTCTGTCCGAAGAGATTGGTGCTGATGCTGCTGCTGGTGCTGCCGCTCTGGTCGAAGACGCTGGGCTGCTGCTGTGGCTGCTGGTGTCGCTGGTGTCCGAAGGTGTCGCTGGTGCCGCTGCTGCGGCTGATGCCGGTTTGTCCGAAGAGGCTGGTGTTGATGATGTTGTTGTTGCGCCGTCGTTTGGAAACCAAGAGCCAATGCATGTTCAGTTTGCTCATTTTGCTGTCTGATTGAGGTCTCCGTGGTGGCTGGAGAACGCGATCTTGTCATGGAGGTGGCCCCAGTCGCGGTCAACGTCGGGGTGCAAGTTTAGCCGTTTGGTATCAGATCGGCATGTCATGACATGCCGTCGGGACGGCCTGACGGGAGGGTGTCGCGAAAGGACGTCGGGAAAGGCCCGTCGGGAAGGGCCATCGGGACGGGTTCAAAGAACACATCGGCAGGTGTCGGGAAAGGCAGGCGGAACAGGCCGTCGGGAAGTGACGGGTGATTGTCCTACCCCTTGGCGGTTCCCCCTTTAGGGGTGTTGGAGTCAGTGCATCGCTCGAGACATTCTCACCATCTGCTGGGCTCGGTCAGAGGGTATGTGGTCATGCGATGTCTTGTTATGGTGTTTTGATGTGGCATGTTATTCTATGTTACATCATCCCACGGAGTTACGAAGCCCTATGCCA